GGTCTTCACTATGTTTAATTTGAATTAAAAGGAGCTCCTTAACAGTGTTCCATGTGCTTAGACAGATCTATATCATAGGAAAGAAACTGTCTTAATGCATGTGTTTATCCTCCAGGTATCACAGGTTGCCCATTACAGGCATATATATTCATGGGACCAATTTACTACCAGAAGTTAAAACATATGGTGAGATTTCAATTTTCAATCATGGCTATTTTACACGCTTGTGAATCTTCGGTTCCTTCTAAAGTTATCACTATGATCGTTTCGATATTCAATCATGGCTATTTTACGTGCTTCTTGGAAGATATTAGTTTCTTCACAATATTTACTCCTATCACATAAAACATGGCATATTTTATTTTAAGTGTATCAAACACTTTAATTATTGCGCAGTTTACACTTATGGATCATTAAAACTTCAACGTCATATTTATGATATCATATAAATACGTGATGTTCAGGTCCTAGATAAAATGCATGCACGAGGAAGCGGTCCCCGAGTCAGTCTAACTAGACAACCTACTGAGGGAAAAGCCCGAAATGGAGGTTGTGATTTTATCTTTGATATATCAAATTAATTTCACGTTAAGCAGTTCTGTTTGTTCTAATGTTATTCATCTACCAGGACTACGAGTGGGAGAAATGGAGCGTGATTGTTTGATTGCTTATGGTGCTAGTATGTTGCTTTATGAACGCCTAATGATCTCTAGTGATCCTTTTGAAGTTCAGGTATTTACTGTTTGTGCTTCTTTAATAAATCTACCTTCCAGATATTTTCCGTTGCATGTCAATAAGCCATTTTATGATGTCATCCCTACTCTGCTGTCTCAAAAACCAAACAAACCAACACTTACAAAACTTTTCAGCCATTGGTGGACGGTCCGAATTCTTTCAGTTTTTATCTAACTAGTTAAATACTTTTTCTTGGCTTAAAATATTTGCTGTTGATATCAAATATTTAAATACTACTTCCAAAAAATAATAATAATAAATACATGCCTTTCTTGAAATGCTTTCTCAAAT